TTCAACAAACGGTGCCGGGACCACCGGATATCCCATGTAAAATAATTAAATTGAACTGGGTATTTACCCGAAGAATACAAAAGCATTAATACGACAAGATCCGTGCACTGCCCATGCTTCCTGCAGCATTACTTGTAACAGCCAACTACAGAAGCAACAATAGAGTCCGACAATAGGCCGACGGGTAAAGATGTGCAGCGTGTGTGTGCACGTGCGTGTGCACGTGTAATGGACTGTCAGTCAAAATAGGATGAGATCTTGTCATCTGCAACACGGATGGACCCTAAAGTGTATTATGCTAAGTGAAAGGAGAAAGACTGAAACATCATATGATTTCACTTCTATATGGAATCTCAAAACCAAAAATGAATAAACAAAAAGCAGAAACAAACCTATAAGTAATAGAACTGATGTCTGCTGGGGGGTGGGGTGAAGGGATGGGCAAAATGAGTGAAGGGAAGCAGAGGTACAGGCTTCCAGTCATGGAATGAGTACATCACAGGACTAAAACGTACAGTGGGGGGAAGACAGTCCGTGATACTAATGGCTACGGTGACAGGCGACAGCTACCCTTGTGGAGAGCACAGCACAAACTTGCTGAATCATGATGTTGTACCCCTGAAACCAACGTAACATTGCATCAACCACACTTCAACTAAAAAAAATAATAAGCTGGAAAAAATGAGTAAGGCCAATGGGCGCCTGGGTGGCTCAGTCAGTTGAGCGTCCGACTTCGGCTCAGGTCATGATCTCGCGGTCCGTGAGTTCGAGCCCCACGTCAGGCTCTGTGCTGATAGCTCAGAGCCTGGAGCCTGCTTCCCATTCTGTGTCTCCCTCTCTCTCTGCCCCTCCCCTGCTCATGCTCTGTCTCTCTGTGTCTCAAAAATAAATAAAACATTAAAAAAAAACAACAACAAAAAACAGTAAGGCCAAAACTAAAAACCAAAACCTGGTTCTCCCTAAGTATTTTACCTTTCAGAGAATGATAGTACTATTCATTTCTTGCATGAGCCAGCAATTAATAGTCATTTTTTAAACGCTCCTTTTCCTTTTCCTTAAAAAAAAAAAAATTAAATCTGATCCCTACCTCACATGACACACATAAATTAACTCAAATAGATCATAAACCTAAATGGAAGTGCTAATACAATAAAACTCTTAAAACAGGAGGAGGGGCACCTGGGGGGCTCAGTTGGTTAAGCGTCTGACTTCGGCTCAGGTCACGATCTCACAGTTCATGAGACTGAGCCCCACGTACGGCTCTGTGCCGACAGCTCAGAGCCTGGAGCCTGCTTCGGATTCTGTGTCTCCCTCTCTCTCAGCCCCTCCCCTGCACTTGCTCACTCTCTCTCTCTCTGTCTCAAAAATAAATAACAAACATTAAAAAAATTTAAAAGAAATAAGAAAACATAGGAATAAATCTTTGTGACCTTGTATCACTTAGTGACAAAAATAAAAATACATACTTGGACTTTATCAAAAGTAAGAATTTCTGCTTCAAAGGATACCATGAAGAAAATAAAAGACAAACTCCAGAATGGAAGAAAATATTTGCAAATCATATCTGATAAAGGACTTGTATCCATCATATACAAAGAACTCTGTACAACTCAACAAAGACAACCGAACTCAAAAACAGACAAAGGATTTCAACAGGCATTTCCCCCAAGAAGATATACAATGGCCAAGAAGCACTTGAAAAGGTGTTTAACACCCTAAGTCATTAGGAAAATGCGAATCAAAAACATAATGTGATACGCTTTAAAATCCAAAGAACAGACGGCGTTGGGGAGAATGCAGAAAAACTAGAATCCTCCTACAGCACTGGTGGGGTTGTGAGATGGAACCAACTACTCTGGAAAACAGCTTGACAGCTGCTGGAAAGATTGAACACGCAGCTACCACGTGACCTGGCAATTCCACCATACACCCAGGGCCTGTGGAAACGTGTGCGCACACAAAAACTTGTTCACAAACGCTCACAGCCGCATTTTTCCTCATAGGCGAAATGTGGGAACAATCCAGATGTCCACCAACCAATAAATGGATAAAAACCAAGCGTGGTGTAGCCATGCAATGGAATATTATTCAGTCATCACAATAAACGAAGTTCTTATAAATGCTACAACACGGGTGAATCTTTAAATAAAGGAAACCGGTTACAAAAGACCAGCTGTGTACTACGTTCCAATTATACTGCATAAAAAGTGTCCACAACAGGTACATCTACTGACACAGTGAATGAGATCAGTGGTTGCCAGGGGCCGGGAGAGGGGAGAACGGAGTGACAAGGGTGTTCTAAAACCAGGTCGTGGTCACGATGACACAACTGTGTGACTACATCAAAAACCACTGAACTGTGCACTTTAAGGATCCTGACTGTCATGGGTTGTGAATCTTAATAAAGCCATTTACCAAAACACACTGCTGCTCGGCCCTACTGAAGCAGCAGCAGCAGCAGAAACCGACACACACGGAGTACGCGTCAGACTGAGCGCGACAGACACCGCGTGCTTCTGTCATCTTACCGGGACAGCGCCCTTCTCGAGCAGCGTACCAGCTGTTGCTGCCCAACAGACCGCCCCGGACGCAGTGGCCTCGGCCAAGGACCCGTTATTACTGTTGACAAGGCTCCAGCTGCAGGCTGGTTGGTTCCTGTTCTGGACCAGGTGTGGCTATCGCCGGTGGGGGTCCTCATGCTATGGGGTTGGCTGGCTGGTCACGGTTGGCCTCAGCTGGGATGACCAACTGTGCTCCACACCGTCTCTCATCCCAGAACTGACTTGTCACGGGTGGCAAAGGTCCGAGAGAGAGCCAAACACTGAAGACCTCTTCAAACCTGGCTCAGAACCGGCCATCTGTCCCATTCTGTTGCAGCCCATCATAGGCCAGATCAGACACAAAGGGTGAGAAGCGGAGTTTACCTCTTTGTGGGAGGAGCTGCAAAGTCACAGTTGTTGTGATACACGGAAACCACGGTGGTGTTGACAAACGGAGAATCCTGGATGCAGACAGGGTTGTCGGACTTAAGAGCTACATTCTTATTACTATGCCAGATTTCTTCCTCGGTGGCCTCAATCACTCATTTGTGCAGCTATTTGTTGATCTTGATCTTAGCAAATAAAAGGTAATTATCAAAGTCGCTTTTATTAATATTGAACCTTACTTCAGTTTGTAGATATCTTTATTTCATAAAAATTTTCATAAGTATACCGTCTTACACATTTAGTAATAAAGTTAACCGGCGAGAACTAGAAATAGTTTGGATAAAATTCTAAATCAGAATTTATGGAACATTTTCTTACACCATACACCAAAAGTAAACCAAAATGGATTAAAGTCCTAAGTGTGAGACCCGAAACCATAAAAATCCTAGAAGAGAGCACAGGCAATAATTTCTCTGTCATTTTTCTAGATATGTCTCCTGAGGCAAGGGCAACAAAAACAAAATTAAACTATTGGGTCTTCATCAAAATAAAAAGCTTCTGCACAACAAAGGAAACAATCAATAAAACTAAAAGACAACCTACTGAATGGGAGAAAATATTTGTAAACGACATGCCCAATAAAGGGTAAGTATCCAAAATATATAAAGAACTCATACAACTTGACATCGAAATAATAACAATAATGATAATCCAATTAAGAGTGCAGAAGACGTGAACAGACATTTCTTCAAAGAAGACATCCAGATCACCAAGAGACACATGAAAAGAAGTTCAACATCACTCATCATCAAGGAAATGCAATCAAAACCACAATGTGTCACATCTGTCAGAATGGCAAAAACCGCAAACATAAGAAACAGCAAGTGTTGGCGAGGATGTGGAGGAAAAAGGAACACTTGTGTACTGTTGGTGGCGATGCAAACTGGTGCAGCCGCTATGGCCAACCGTACACAGGTTCCTTAAAAAATAAAAAACAGAATTATCATAGGACCCACTAATTCCAGCATGGAGTATTTACCAAAAGAATACAAAAACACTATTCAAAAAGATACACGCACCCCTACGTTTTACTGCAGTATTTACGACAGCCGTATTATGGAAGCAGCTGATGGACGAATGGATAAAGAAGCTACATACACATACAAAGGAATATTACTCAGCCGCAAAAACATGACATCTTGCCACTCACCACAGCACGGATGGATCTAGATAGGGGGTGCAATGCTAAGTGAAATAAGTCAGTCAGAGAAAAACAAATACCATAGGATCTCACTCGAATGCGCAAGAAACAAAGAAAACAGAGACAAACTAAAAAACGGGACTCTTAATTACAGAGAACACACTGATGGTTACTAGAGGGGAGATGGGTGGGGGGAAGGGGACAAAAGGGGGAAGGGGATTAAGAGTTCACTGATCATGGGGGCGCCTGGGTGGCTCAGTAGCCCCACATCAGGCTCTGTGCTGACAGTGTGGAGCCTGCTTCGGATTCTGTGTCGCCCTCTCTCTGCCCCTCCTCCACTCATGCTCTCTCTCAAAACTAAACATTAAAAAAAAAAGTCCACTTATGATGAGCACCGAAGCATGTACAGGATTCTTGAATCACTGTATCATACGTGCGAAACTAATGTAACTGTACTGGAATTTTTTTACAAATTACAAAACCAAGCTGCAGTTGTTTTTTTTTTAGATTAAAGAAAACTTTTTCTAATGTTTATTTATTCTTGACAGACAGAGGGAGACAGAGCATGAGCAGGGGAGGGGCAGAGAGAGGGAGACACAGAATCTGAAGCAGGTTCCAGGCTCCGAGCTGTCAGCACAGAGCCCGACGTGGGGTTCGAACCCACAAACCATGAGATCATGACCTAAGCCGGACGCTCAACCAACTGAGCCATCCAGGCGCCCCAAAAGTTTATTAGTTTCAGCATCAAATAAAATTCTGCTTTTATTTTGTACACACAATATTGGAAACCTTGAGCCACATAAATAGTTGCAAGTGGTAACCGTTTGTAGTGTTTGTAGCCTCCACATAAAAAAGTTTTAGACGAGCAGAACTACCAAGATTCATCTTTAATGAGTGACAGCATGTGGAAAGGGATCTTTTCTCTGAGTAGGTCTCAACGGCAGACTTAAGACATTCAGTCACCCACGTTGTAAACAGATGTGCTGTCCTCCAGGCTTTGTTGTTCCATTCCTAGAGCACAGAGTAGATTTAGCGAAATTCTTTTTTTTAAGTATTTATTTATTTATTATTTATTTATTTATTTTTGAGAGAGAGAGACAGAGACAGTGTGAGCAGGGGAGGGGAAGTGAGAGCGGGAGTCCAAGCAGGCTCTGTGCTGCCACCAAAGAGCCCAACGTAGGGCTTGAACTCATGAACTGTGAGATCATGATCTGAGCAGAAACCAAGAGTTGGACACTGAACCGATTGTGCGCCCCAGGTGCCCCAAGATTTACCCAAGTCCTTACGGGCCCCAGGAATTTGGAAAAGGTCAAGGAGCTTCAGCTTACAGTCACCAGCCGCGTTAGCCCCTGACAAGAGTCGGCCCGTCCTTCGAAGCTTGGGAACCGGGCCCTGACTTGTCCCGTCTGGCCACGAGAGTCCTGGTCGGCGTCCCCTTCCAACATGAGACTGTCTGGTCCACACTGAGGATCTGTTGGTGAGCGTGGCCACCCTGGTGAATTCCCTCAGCTGGATCTTCCGGAGAACTTGCCGCGGCTTCTGCATCGGCCCCGGATGCTTCTCCCTGCGCTTCTGTGTCGCGCAGGCGGCTTCTTCCCCGAGACCTCACGGACCGGCCTCAGCCAGCGTCTCGCCGCGCCCGTGCGGCCTCCTGCCCTCGCTCGGCCTCCGCAGAACGAAGACGGCGCGGGCCTTGCTCTGGACCGGGGACGTGGTGCGTGTGATGCTCCGTCCGGACCACTCAGACTTTCTCCGCATCGGCAGTAAGGCCGTTTAGCTTTCTCGTCTTCCGCGTGTTCCCCGGAACAGCACTTCTCATTTCCTTCAGGAACCTTCCCTCGCGTTCACAACTTGGCCAAGCGTCGGGTGCGGGAGGCCTAAGCGTTCAGTGTATCTGGGCTTTGGACGCGCCTTCCCCCCTGAGCTGAATCGCCGCCAGCTTCCGATTTCAAGCGACGGGCGCGAGACTCTGCCTTTCACTGCACACTCAGCGCCGTTGTAGGTCAGTGATCGGCCTGGTGTCACTGCTGTGTCTCAGGGAACAGGGCGGCTGAGGAAGGGAGAGAGACGGGGCACGGCCGTCGGCGGAGCATCTGTCAAGTTCACCGTCTTACAGGGCACCGCTCGTGGTGCCCCCCACACCATCACAGCAGTAACACCAAACGTCACTCGTCGCGGATCACCACAAAAATATACTCCTGGAAAAGGGCTAGATACCGTGACAATCACCACAACGTGGCACAGAGACAGGAAGTGAGCGAACGCAGCTGGGAACACGGCGCCGACAGACGCGCTCCCCGCAGGTTCCCGCACACCTTCCGTGTGTAGCACCGGGCCGGCCGTGGGAGCGCAGCCAAACCGGCTCTGCCTGCGCTGAAAATGCCCGATGCCCAGACCGTATCTCAGACCAACTAAAGCACAACCGCTTGTAGGGACACTTAGACGTTGGCAGTTTTTAAAGCTCCCCAGCTGGTTCCACTGTGCGGGTAGGAGCGAGGAGTGCCACGCCGATGTCCCGGCTGAGGGAATGTCGACCTACTGAGCGCGGGGCCTCTGGGTACGGTTGTCCCGCCAAGGAGACACGCAGTACGTGTGTCATAAGGAGACCGTCAAACGCCTTCCTTCAATGAAGACGTGATATGCATAATGGCATTACTGTGACCTCCCACGCTAGGAATTCAGACAGAAAGGATACTCTGCCATGACTTTGCTCCACTGAAGCTAGACTGATTTCCTGCCAATCAGCAATTCTTTTTCCAAACGAGTGTCTCTCAACTGGGGCAATTTTGCCCCCTGGGGGACGTTTAGTAATGTCCGGAAGCATTTTTGGTGGTCACACCTCGGGGGGGGGGGGAGGGGGAGGACATCTAATGAGCAGAGACGAGGGACCAGGGACCTTGCTAACCATCCTGGAATGTGCAGGACAGGCTCGCACCACACATCACCCAGCCTCAAACATCAACAGAGAGTACTGAGGTTGAGAAAGATTGTTCTAAATCTCGAATCCTCCAGGAAAACTCTGGTTCATTAAGACTAACATCACTGGTTTTGTAATTTGTTAGAAAACACAGAACCTGTCATGCTGCCTTCCGTAATCCTCATTGGGTCTATTTCCCCATGTGTGGACCCTTCGAGGGGCACTGGGGCTACAGAAGTAGAGGAGTTTCTTCGAGACGCTGACGACGACGACAAACTCCCGCAGGCCCCAGTTTGCCGCAGCGCGCACTCGGTCCCCAAATGACAGGGGGGGGGGCGAGGGCTGATGCAATGACACGAACTCTCCTGATGCAGAAGCAAAGGATGGGAAGGGGGAGGGATCACGATTGCTTCCCGGGCCAGGGGACACCCTGGCTCTTCCTTAATACCCGCACCTGCAAAATTCCTCAAGGAATGGACCCCAGACTCATGATACATCAGAGTTTTCTTTTTTCTTTTCTTTGAGAGAGAGGGGATGGGGGGGGGGCTCAAGTGAGCAAGGGGCAGAGAGAGGGAGAGTGAGGATCCCACCAGGGGCTGAGAGAGAGAGAGAGAGAGAGAGAGAGAGAAGAAACATGGGGCTTGTGTTTTTGTTTGTTTTTTTTTACCCAAAGTGGGGCTCATGCTGACCTGTTGCGGGGCTCAAACCCACAAACCGTGAGATCATGACCTGAGCCAAAGCCAGATGCTTAACTGGCTGAGCCACCCAGACGCCCCCACACGAGGCGTGTTCTGTGAAGATGCATGTCCGGCCTTAACACCCCAAGATTTTCGGGCTCAGTGGTATACCTGCATTGATCTCAACCCATCTGTAGATTTAGATTATTGTTCTGAAGTAGAAACACATAAAGACTTAAGGAAAAAGACACAGAAAAAATAATCCGATCTATTGAGGTGCTAATGTTGTAGGTAACTTTCTTTTCTTGATTTTTATTTGTAAGGTTATTAGCAATAAGCAATATTGGCAATATTGTTTACGTAGTAAAAACTGTCCAAACCTCACTAACGTGTCCATGTTAGAAACCATTTTTTATGAGACCTAAGCAAAACCATTTTTACAGTAACATAATAACAACAGAGATTGCTGTGTATATGAGATTATTCAACTGCAACCCTGCTTCTGATATTAAAGGAAAGGAAAGAATTAAGTATCTGCCCCCATACATCCCCATACAGTGAAACAGCATGCGGCCGATTAAAAACAAAACCACCTAGCAGCTCTCTGCAAACTAATGAGCAAAAATGTCCGACACACACTAAGTGGGGAAAAAACACAGAACAGTGTATATAGTTAGCTACTGTCTGTGTAAAAGGGGGAAAACCTATACACAATTTGCTCGTAAAAAGGTACATATTTTGAAGGACATACAAAAATTGATAATACCGGTTGCTTTCAAGGAGAAGAAATAGGTTCCTATGGGGGCAGGAAAAGGGAGAGTGGTGTCTTTGCACTTTTTGAATCTGAACCACTGCTATCATCCAGGCCGAGAGTAAATTTTGTAAAATTAAATCAACAAACCCTTAGTGAATTCTTAAAAGCTAACACACAATTTTCTGCATGAATTATACTACTGTGCGTCAAACCGTGTGAGAGCAGGGCTCGAGATAAATAGTTAAAAATAGCGGGTCCTTACCCCAACACCACATCCCAGTCTACCTTCAGACTGTCTGACAAGCCCTTTGGTTTCTCAGATGAATACCTTCCAGGTAACATTTTCTACAGGAAAAAATAACGCTGTGGTAAGCTTGTGGGACTCTTGTTTTTTCCTTCTCTCTGAGACCAAGTTTCCTATCTGTAGGACAAGGGCACTCCAGTGTGTTTTCCAGACACTGCCCCTCTCGTAATTTAACTTTCACCAAGTTAAGAGCAGTGACAGCCCTGACGTACAGAAGATGAAAGGGCTGTGCGGGTAAAGGCGGAGGCAAGGAGCACCGCTTTGGTACTTCCTTTCTTCCAGTGACTAAAGCACAGCAGAAAAATATCTAGGGCTCCAACGATAGCAATAGCTAACATATCACGAACACTTTCTATAAGTCAGGCACTGTTCTAAGTGCTTTATGTGAATTAACTCATTTTACCTTTACAACAATCCTATGATGTAGGTAATATGTCCAATTTACAAAGAAAATAGAGTGGCAAGTATGGCAAAAAGGTTAAAAGCAGGGACCCCAGAATCTAAGTGATGAAATCTGAATCCCAGCTCTCCTACTTAACAGCTGTGTGACCTTGAGCAACTTAAACTTTGTGCGTCTGTTCCCCCATTTCTAAAACGGAGAAGACCTTCTAGAAGGTAGTATGGAAATCTACACTGTGTTATGAAGTCTCTACCCAAGCTTCACAGCCAAGGAGAAGAACTGGGCTTTGCACCCATGCAGCCTGGAGGGTCAACTTCCAGTTTGCTAAAAGGCAATCCATCACCTGAAGCATGAGTTTAAAATCTCAGTACCCCCACCCCCCAAATTTCAGAGTTCTTCCCTTTTTAAACAGAAAATGATTTACAGACTATTATGCTTATATAGCACTGACTCTTAACTTGTCAAATGTGAAGTCAATCACGATGACATTCCAGTTAAGTTTTATCTTTAAATTTTTAACACTCGAAACCTTATTTTAAAGTATATAGTGAAGAAGTTTTCCTGCTTGTCTACATTTATTTATTTTTGAGAGATAGAGACAGTGTGAGCAGGGGAGGGGCAGAGAGGGAGGGAGACACAGAATGGGAAGCAGGCTCCAGGTTCTGAGCTGTCAGCACAGAGTCCGACACAGGGCTCGAACCCAGGAACTCAAGCCGGATGCTTAACCGACTGAGTCCCCCAGGCGCCCCTCCTGCTCACGTAAACTGCATTTAGCCAACAGCGCAGCAAGAAAGCAGCATGAAATAAACGTTTACTTACTTCTGTTCCAGTAGGCGAATCTGAAGAGCTTAGCTAAGACAGCTGCTGTGCAGCACCAGCCTAGAACCCAGCTGCCCACCTAAGCTCGAGGACTGTCCCCAGAAACAGAGAAGCAGGGAGATACTGGAAATGTAGGCAGCTTTGTCCAGTGCCTGTCACTTTGCTTAGGGCACAGTTTCAGGTGAGCCACACCCTCATTTGCATTAAAGGGTAAATCCACAATCCAAGGAGGTCTTCTGGAGCTTAATCACGATTTGGCTCCCTCCCCTTTCCGTAGGAGCTTCCTACTGCTGCTGTGACAAATCTCCACAAATTTAGTGGCATAAAACAACACATTTGTCACCCCAGAGTTCTGTGGGTTAGAAGTCCAAAAGCCAAGCGTGCGGAGGGTTGTGTTCCTTCCGGGGGCTCCAGTTCAGAGAGGAAGATGCTCTTCCATCTTCAAAGCTGCGACAGCTGGCCAAGCCTTTGTCACAGAGCAGCATGCAGACGTTGACCCTACTGTGTCCCCCTGCCATCTTTTCCAAACTCTTGTAATTACGGCGGGCCTCCCGGATAATCCAGGATAATCTCTCTGTTTCGAGGTTAGCTGATTAGCAAACTTAATTCCCTCTCGCCACATAACAAACATATGCACGGGTTCCAGGGACTGGGATGTGGGCATCTTTGGGGGAACCGTTATTCTATCTTCCATACCTTCCTTGGTTCAAGGAACTCAGGTTTCCTTCGTTCAAAAAGGTCATGTGACTGAACACCTGACATATCTTGGTAGGCACTGGGGCATACACAAGTAACAGAGTACTGTCTTGCCGATTGCTTAGCTGGCAATTCATGAAAGCAACGTGAAGGCAGACACCGTAAGTAACTTTCCTCGCGCACTGGTGTCGGGGAATAACATTAAGTACCTTTTCTTGGTAGAATATGTAATTATGTCGGTGATGACAAATGTTTACTGCAAAGACAATGTGGTATAATGAAAAGGTCTTTTTTGTGGTTGTTGTTTTGGCTTTTGTAAAATTTAGGCTTCGGGCCCAGCACGGAGCCCAAGGCAGGGCCTTGAACTCACGACCCTGAGATCGAGACCTGAGCTGAGATCAAGAGTCCCTGA